TGACCCCTGGCACTGCTACAGTTTTACTTGTTAAATTAATAAAAAAGACCTGTGACCGTTTGATATCTGTGTGCATTGTGACCTTCAAGATGTCATAATAAAAAGGATGGTGTGTACATCTCACTCAGCCAGGGTTCGTGTCAGAGCAGATTTACATTTTATTCTCAGTTGAGATGAAATCTGCTCTTCTATTCATCTCCCAGGCTGCACGCTTCTCACAAAGACGTCTCAGGTTAGGCTTCAGCGGAATCTATCAGGAAACAGAGCAAAGTTTAGAGGGGCAATCCAGGCCCCTTTTACACATCACAAGGCTAATAAATATGAAAAAGCACAAGCACTGTTTAATGCCCCTACTATAGGGAAACTGACATAGACCTGATTATCAGTCCTGGTCCTCCTATTGGAGCAGGCAGTTGGTCTATGAGCATGGAATCCCATGGGAAGGCTAGTGAACTTTTTCATGGATTAGGTAGAGATGTTGCTACAGTCATCTGGCATCAATAAAAAGTCACAATGTTTTTGTTAGAATCTTGTACATTAGATACTACAATGTAATGGTTACCTTGTGCTCCAGGTGGGATATGTCTGCCAGGGGCAGGATGGCAGGTCTCCCGTGTGCACACTGGAAGGGCAGGTTACAACGTGACAGAGCCTGGATCAGGTGTCTGCACTCCGTTAATGTTAGACTGTCATTAAACTTTACAGCTCCTGTGTGACAAGCAAAAATATGTCAGGAAGATTTCAAAGCAAAACCTGGCGTATGTGGTACAAACATCATGTTATCCACCTGTCCCTTCTCACCCCATATCACTACTTTACCCCTAACTGTGCCACAGCCCCTTACTCCAAATAACCAGCCTGCATCTTAATGAACGATATGATTGGCTTGCACCTTCAATGCAGGTTAGGTAAACGCCAGGTTTGTTCACAGTGATTTAATTACAAATTGATCTGTAAGAAATGCGGCTTGGATTGCTTTTATCTATGCAATGTCCCCCCAATGAGTATTATTGCAAGCTCTCACCGTGACAGGCCTGTGACGCAAGCACCTTTAGTACAGTCAAGGGAACAGACGTTTGAGCTGCTCCAGCTGTCTGAAACATCTAAAGAAGTGGAGAAATATATCAGAGTTTTCATCTTAGACATGGCTGATGCATAACGTAAGGCTATAGAACTGAATTTCCTGCTGTGGCAACCCTTGCAGTACATAATCTTGATAGAGCTGGTATTAAACTTAATTCTGTTTTAAAAAGGTATTTTTAAAATCTATTGGATGCTATTTTGTATTACATTTTTACACACTGTATGGCAGGTTATGAATTGCTTTAACACCCAGAGTGCTGTGTGCATGCGCCAAACTTACTTTTGAAGCACACGTGCTGGTAAGAATCGTGTGTGAGGACAGTATCATGACACAGTAGAGCAGAGATTAATGTAATTTAAGGTACTGCACTCTTTGCTTCTTTCATTGTTTTATATAATAAAATGTGTCAATATGCCTTGTGCACAGAGGTGTAAAAGAAGTATGTGCACAGGACAGAGGCTAGCAGAACCAGCATAGAATCCGACTACATCCCATCATGGTCAGTGACCAGAACCAGCATAGAATCCGACTACATTCCATCACGGTCAGTGACCAGAACCAGCATAGAACCCGACTACATCCCATCATGGTCAGTGACCAGAACCAGCATAGAACCCGACTACATCCCATCGTGGTCAGTGACCAGAACCAGCATAGAATCCGACTACATCAAGGTCAGTGACCAGAACCAGCATAGAACCCGACTACATCACATCAAGGTCAGTGACCAGAACCAGCATAGAACCCGACTACATCCCATCGTGGTCAGTGACCAGAACCAGCATAGAATCCGACTACATCCCATCATGGTCAATGACCAGAACCAGCATAGAACCCGACTACATCACATCAAGGTCAGTGACCAGAACCAGCATAGAATCAGACTACATCCTATCACGGTCACTGGCCAGAATCAGCACATATAACTACAAGCTAATAGTCTGCATTTTAGAGTTCAGGCATAGCTGCT